TCACTGAGATGAGGAAAAAATGCCAAGAGAGATTATTATCTATTCTCACCTCAACTAAACAATTAGGTGTGATTTACATATGATCACAATTTATCTGAGAGGATAAAAAAGCAGAAGACAACTATGAAGGCACACCTTTTACTCTGTTTAGCTACCTAAAACAAAGAGGCCTGAAAGTACTTCAGGAACTCAAAGGCATTCTCCCTCTGCTCTGTGTTTAGAACCCAGTTTCTACAGACTGTCCTGTTGAACCTTTCATTCAACTCTATTCTTTGAACAAAGACAGTTCTTTAAAATTAGAGCTAATAATGATTAAAATACCTTATATTTGTTTAGAAGCTTGCAACTTCCAATGTTTCCAAACACTTGGTCCTCACAACCTTTTTGAGGTAGGACGGGGAGTTATTTTTACAATAACTGAGCACACTGAAGCTGAGGTAAGTATGTTGCCCAAGACAAGTAGTTAAGTGAGACAGATTTCTTGACTATAAATGCAGTGTTCTTCCCCCTATCTCACATGAGAATGAGGTGCTTTGGATAAAAAGAACTTGCAAATTAAAGCAAAGTATACTATATCTTGTTTCACATTTATATTCATTTACAAAAAGCCAGAATTCATGGTGTAAGAGTTCTTTAAGGTACCAAAGAAAAACACTTGTACATTTCTTTTCTTATATAAGTGGGCCTTCTTAGTAACAATGACTTTTCCCATCTAAGGGGTTTTGTACATTATGCTTTTCTCTGCCTGGAATAGCTTTTCTGCTTCCTTTGCCTATTTAGCTTCCAATTAATTACTCGTGTATAGCTTCATATTTATTTGTGAGGGGACTACTCAGACCTCGTCAAACCCTGCTTCAAAGCACTACCAATTTTACGTTGTAAGATTATTATAAGTTCCTTAAAAGGTGAAACATGACTGCTATTGCTTAGTACAGAATGCAAGCAAATGGTACTGTGCCTGATACAACGAAGATATGCAACATAAAAATTTGTTTCCTAGTTTTTTAGTTAATAACATTAGAATTTTCCTCACGAAATTAGCACTTAAGGAACTTAAGGTGAACAAAATGACTATTACATTCCTCTTGTGCCAACATGTATTTTCACATAAATAGATTTAGTATTTTTAAAAAAAATTAATAAACTTACACTTACAGAAAAGTTGCAAGGATAGACTTTCTGCACATCAATCACCCGATACCCAACTTTTACATTACTAACTTGCATCCATATCAAGATTAATGAACCAATATTGATGCATCATTAACTGAAGTCCCTATTTTATTTGAATATCCTTAGTTTTTATGTAACTTTTTTATCTGTTCCAGGATCCCATCCAGGATTCCATATTACATTTACTCCTTATGTCTCCTTAGGCTCTTTTTGGTTATGATAATTTCTGTGACTTTATGATGACTGTGACAATTTTGAGAAGTACTAGTCATTACTAATTGTAGCCTGTCCCTCAATTAGGATTTGTCCAATGTTTTTCTCAGTCTGAGGCTGTGAGTTTTTAAGAAAAAGATCACAGAAGTAAAATGCTATTGTTACCACATCATGTAAAGGGTACATGCTATCAATATGATTTATCATTGATGTTAACCTTCATCACTTGGCTGAAGTAGCATTATGTTAGGTTTCTCCACTGTAAAGTTACTCCTTTTTGTTCCTTTTCTATACTCTACTCTTTGTAGTCACTATGCACAGCTTACACTTAAATGGGTGGGGAGTCATGCTCCACTTCTTTGAGGGGGAGTAAATCTATATACTATTTGAAATTCTTTTACAAAGGAAATTTGTCTATGCTTTCCCATTCATGTATACAATCATTTATATTAGTATAGACTCATGGACTTTGTGTTATCATCCAATACTACTTATGTTGCTGCTCAAATTGTTTCTGCTTTCACTACTGTGAGCTCTCTCAGTTGGCTTTAGTATCCGTTTGAGCTATTTGCATCATTTTGTTTTTTGAGCAATCCTTATTTTCTGGAACTATAAGATGCTTCAGGCTCACCTTGTATTTTCCCTGTTCCAGTCCTAGAATCAAGCAACCCTAGTTCCTTTATTTAGGAAAAAAATATTAGAAATGAAAATCTGGATGCTGGTTGTAGATATAATTTTAAAATGTGAAATAAATGGATTTTTAATCTCTAACAATACTGCAGAATAAACTAAATAGTACCACCTTTTTACAAAAGGAAGCCAAACCAACTGTTTGCAAAAGGCTAAACCCACCTTTTAACAAGCTCAATGCCCTCCAATGCGCAAGCCAAATTTAGGAAATAGATGTAGTATTCATATAATTGATCTGATATTATCCAGAAAAGAAAATATTACATGGTTCCATAACCTCTTGAGTTAAAACAGATGAGGGTTAAGAGTCTAGTTTGCCACTTCATTTTTCTAATGCTCTTTTAGAGACAGGGTACAGGAGGACGAAGATATTAGTCAGGGATGATCTTTTAGAGAAGGTGACATTCTGAGATCTGAAATCCTTGTGGAAATTTGGTGGGAGAAGTTCCAGAGAGAAACACAGGAAGCAAGGAAAAGAAAGACCTACAGGGCTGCAGCTTTGTGAGCTAGAGGGAGATGATTAAAAAATAATGTTGTAGAGGTAGAATGGTCTATAAATTTGTAGGATAGGCTGGGCCTTTGAGCGGTTTTAACTGGAAGAGAAAAATTTGGTTTATATTTTTAAAAGATCATTGGCAGCTGTGGATTGTAGGAAGGTAAAAGTAGAAGCAGGGAGAATAGAAGTGTTCATCACAGGGGTCCTGAGAGTGGAGCACCAGGAGCTAGAATGATTACAGTGGAAATGAAGATAATTGGATAGATTCAAGGTCTATTATTTAGGAGGGTAAAGGTAATAGAACTTACCAATATACTAGATGTGGATATGAACGAAAGGGGAGTAACAAAAAATACTCTGCAGTTTAGGGCTTAAGTATCTAATGCAGAAAGTGCCATTTACTGAGTTGGGGAAAACTGAGGAGGGAGGTAAACTCTTAAAGCCTCGATTTCCTCATCCATAAAATGAGAGTAAGAAAGTAGTAGTAGACTAAATGAATGGCAGAGTCCCTGTCATAGGGGTCTAATCCACAGAATGTACTTTTAATCACACAAGCCAAACCCTTTCATATTCCTCACATTGTCAGTCATTAACATTTAAAAGTAGTAAAATACAATCCACACAGAAGTATACATGTCAGACTATATACTTTTCCATTAGAATGTATGGATTTAAGAATCAGATCCAAGTTCAAATGAAAATTTTTGCTCAGCCTTTTAACTACCTTTGTGAACTTGGAACATTCTTATTAGTACTTTATATTTTCCCTAAAGTGGAGATATTAATAAAGACTCAAATATGGCATTTTTTAAACCTCTCATTTACCAATTCTCAGCCCAATAACGGAAAAGTGGTAGTATAGTAAACTGTACAAAGTCTGACCTTATATTTAACTTTCCAAGACAAACCTAACACTACATATTAAATATCATAATTAAGGCCTAAAAACCTTTATAGGTCTTCTAATGTTAACGAAATAATTAAGTTCCAGTCTCTGATATCTATAGATAACCACCATGTGCACATGTTAGGCCATGGCCACTCCTTAAGAACCAGAGAGAGGCCCAAAGCTTGCCACTATGAAGTGTAAACCAGCCATTCTTAAGAGAAAACTTTGGAAAAGCCTACTTTCAAAAATATTTGGATGCGATAATTTTTTAAAATTTCATTTCCTCAAGCCTGTAAACAGGGGAAAAAGTCCCAAGGGGCAGCAAATACTTTCTGAGGAGCAAAGTAGAAAAGACAACTGGAGTTAATAATCAAAAGACTCCCTCATAAGCCATCAAGCTTCAGAATTTCAAAGAGAGACTTATGATCCAGGATCTTCCAGAAATATATCTAACCTGTTAAAAATTAGGTATTTTTTCTCAAGACTCTGGATACCTTTTCTAATGAAAGAGACATTACCAATAATAGTACAATGTCGAATTACTAAACTTTTTCAATTCTGAGGTGAAATTAATGCATTTGGATTTTGTTTAGAGGCAGCAACAAAGAGGATAAAAATAAGCATTTGAGTGCCTTCCATGTTCTTAAAAACTTTGAAATAAAGGACTATCTAGTTCTTCGCGAGTACAGGGGGAAAAACTAACCAATTCTTCAGTTCTCACAAAGTCAACTAAATATTATGCACAAATTCAAGGTTTTGTAGTAAAAAGTGGTTTTTTAAAACTCTCCCCTTCCGACTCCAGGCCTTGAGACTGAGTTACTAGGCAAAGGAGAAAAAAGGACAAAATTAACGTTTTTGTTTGGACGTTCCAGTTGATTTTGGTCCAATGCGGGGGGTCTCTGCATTTGGCGGGAGTGGGGAGGGGGACCCTGGAACTCCTGAGGGGTCGGTGGGACTGCCCCTCAGGGCGCGGGACACGCGGAGGAGGCGGGAGATAACCGCGAGCTAGATCTCCCGCGCCCGCCAGCAAGACTGAGGCGGAGAAAAATCGGGGAAACTGACTTCGGGTCTTAGGGTGCGGCACAGATAGGGGTAAGGGGCACAGGGAGTGGGGGTGAGACACCTGACCAGACCCTGGGGGCGGCCGGCTCGCAGCCCTGTCAGAGCCAGGAACCGCAGGGTGGGGGAGGGGAGGGGGCATTTGGCGCCTATTCAAGCAGGGTGGGGATAGGTAGGTCTTTCCGAGAAGGAAAAAGGGCGCCCTAGTTTGCCACGACCTGCACCTTCCCGGGAGTTGGGAGTCAGATTCAGCATGGGCGGCGGGGCCCCGCGACCCGCCAGCCGACCCCAGCACAACTAGCTTCCCCTCCCTGACCCCCAGACTTCTTTTTCCAGAACCCAGGAACCGCCGCCGCCGCCGCCCGCCCGCGGCCCAGCTTTTGGCCGTGCCAGGTTCGGGAGGGTGTTGGGTCAGGGGTCGCCCCTCACCCTGCACCCCTCCCGGAATGCGAGCCCCCTCACGCCGCTCCCCTCACTCACTGTGAGAGGGGCGAGGGCGCCCGGTGGTTGTCACGGTGCTGGAGCTGCAGGAGCAGGAAGGTGGCCGTGGGGAGTAGTTGCAGTGGTGCCGGCTCATACCAGGGACGTGGAGCCTGCCTCAGGTGTAGGAATTGCTCTGGTAGCTGAGGAGTGAGCCCCCTGCTTCACAGCGTTGTATCCCTTAAAAGGCGCCAGCTGGTACTTTTAAAATCTTTGAATTTGGTGCCCAAATCCGCGCAGCCCAATGGGACGCGTCGCTCGCACCCAAGCACCAATAGGAAAGCTGTAGGCGGGGCCTCTCTCACCCATCCCCAATTGGAGGCTGTCGAGGCGGGGCCGAGCCGCGAAGCCCAACCCCCTTCCGTCTCACCGGCTCCGCACGTCCGGAAAGATGCTGCGGCCGGGGGCGGGGCCTCTGAGCGCGGGGACGCCAGGGCCCGGCCGCACGTGGAGGGAGCCCACCACGCATGCGTGCAAAAGCCAAGCTGCCCTCAGCCGACATGGGAAGCCGCCTCCTGCAAGTCCTGATTTCAGCCAGAAGACAGCTGCGGCTTCTATCTGCAGACCTCCGATGGGTACAAATGGTACCTGACTTTCTTCGATCATCTCACAAGTGGGAGTTCGGTGAGCGGCAATTCTTGTCGTCCCGGAATCCAGACTTTCCGGAAGGACGAACCCTCCCCCAGTCCTGCTTAGCCCGCCTCTCTAGGATTTACGCGCGCACTCTCCTCTCCCTCCTAGTATCGCCCCTCCCCTGCCCATGCCTCTGCGCAGGCTCCTTTGGAGGGCGGTGGCTGCAGAGTTGGCGGGTCGGCGCTTGCGCGCTGGGGTCCCCGCGGCTTTCCCGGGGGAGGGGCAGAGGAGCGGGTACCGCGAGGGGTTCCGCGCCCCTCCCAGCGCTTGCGGGCTCTAGCGCCTATGGCGGGAGATCTGCCGCCGCGTCTCCCCGGGCTTTCCGGCAGGGCGGAAGCGGGACAGTCACTTCTTCCTTGTAAGCTCATTTATTTGTATCTTCAGCCACGGTTCTGCAGACGCTGTTGTTTTGTACAGACGTTAAGTTTACTGAAGTTGTGTGTATGCCCCTGGGATTTTGTTTCTTTCCTTCAGGGGTCAACCGCAAGAGACAGTAGTCTTTCTCCCCCAAAAAAGAGTAAATAAAAATCTCCACTCTCTTGGGCTAGAGGCCCCTGTCCAAGTGAATGTTTTTTTAGTGATGGCTGGAATGGCTGTATTAAAACTGTACCCTATCATTAATGATCCTGAACTTTTAACTATTCGAATATGCTCGTAAGTGGTGACAAAATACATCCCCTTAACCCTATAGGGCCTGGCTGTGGTGCTGCGTACTGGAGATACAGGTCTTCAGGGATTTTACATACCAATGGGAAAAAAATTGATAATTAACAATTTCAGTAAATGAAAGAGGGTGTAAAACAACAGTGGGGTAGAGAATGGAGGTTAGGGGCATAGGTTAAGGATTTCGGATGGTCAGGAAGGTTTCTGAGCCTTTGAGCTAAAATGTGAATGTTAAACTGGCAATGCAAAGAGCTACATAATAAGCCGAGGAAAGAAAGACCAGAGTGCCGGACTAGAACTCATTAAGCAAGGAATAGAGTAGATGACGTCAGAGAGGTAGGCAGAAGCCAGATCCTGTAGGACCTCCTAGGTTTCCGTGTAGTGTTTAGACTTTCTTCTGATTGCAACCGGTAGCTGTTGGAGGGATTTTAGCAAGGGAGTTGAGTGAATATTAAACTATAATACCTTCTTTTTATGTACAGTCAAAATAATGTTAGCCTTTAATTCTCACAATAATCTACGCATTATTTCATTTTGTCATGATTGTGCTTAGAAATGTGAGTTAATTCTTACCATATGGTTATTAGAACCATATAGCTAGTAAGCAGAGATTCCAGTCCCATTCTGCAGGATTCAAAAAGTCCATGTTTTTTCTTGTTATGTTATTCTGAGGAGTAATGTTTGTTGGGGTCCTGGTTATTTATAGTGCATTTTCACATTACTTCCCACTTAGACCTCACTTCAATCTCGAACTCCTGGGCTCAAGTGATCATCCCACCTCAGCCTCCCAAAGTGCTGGGATTACAGGCATGAGCCATCATGCCCCGCCTGATCTTAGAGATAGTTATTCGCCTCTTTTATTTTCAGATGTGGATGGAAATATGAAATTTGAGGGAGGCAAAGGTTCTCATTAAATTAGTTAAGTACCTGGAAAATAACCTTTGGCTCTTTTCCACAGCTTAAAAGTGTACCGCAGCACTTTTTTTTCCTCCAAAAAAAGGCTGCTATATTACTGGAAAAATCAAAATTACTGTAGTAATATAAACAGCCAGGCACATTTTGTTGCATACTGGAATAATTTGTCAGTCTTTTTCAGTTATTAGGTTGCTTAATCATTGACTTTAAATGATATTTGAGCTTTAATTGATTATAATAAAATATTCATAACTGACAACTGTTCAGTAGGTTCACGGGCATCTGTTAGTTTCGTCTTTAGTGAAAAACTTAGAAAGGGCCATTCTGAATTTTACTAGATGCCAACAGGTGTATACACCTGTTTCTTCCTGCATGTAAGTATGAATCAGAGTTGTTGGGTTTTTAGGTGCAAAATGAAGTACAGAGAAAATTTCCCTTAGTCTTTCATCAAATTCCTATTGCAGACCTACCACATGCAAAATATAGTGAGGTATATGGGAATAATTGGGACATGGTAATTGGCTCTTGTGCTTACTATCTGTTTGCTTTCCACCTAACAGACATACTAGATGCTCAGTAAATAATTTTTGAATAAAAGGATCATGAGGTGTGTGTGAGGGGAATAAAGTGTATACAATAAGGGTATAATGGAATACTGGATGAGTCAAATACGTTTAAAGTTACAGTGGGGATTTTTATAGAACAGAGATGTTAACATCTACATGCCAGGATAAGGGAATAATCTATAGGACAAGGTTTCTTAACCTCAGCAATGTTGACATTTTGAGCGAGGTAATTTTTTATTATGGGGGGGCTGTCCAGTGCATCGGAGGGTATTTAACGGCATCCCTAATCTCTAATTCTCCCTTCCAGTTGTGATAACAGTCTCCAAACATTGCCAAATGTCCCCCGGAGGGCAAAACCACCTGTGGTTGAGAACCACTGCTATCGGGGATATCTTTTGAGGAAATGGGGATGAAGGAGCCCTTCCACAGCAAAAGGAACAAAATGGGGGAAAGCTAAATGCAGGTGCATGTATCAGGAAAAACTGATGTGGCATAAAGGAGGTGGTGTGTAAAATGGGCTAATACAAAGTGATGCTGGATACAGATTATGGATGTATTGTATGCACAGGTGAGAGTTGGAGTTTTATTTGGGAGGAAGTGGGGAGGTATTACATTAGGGAGCAAACAATGGCAAGATCAGAGTCTTGCTTTTTAGAAGGATTAATCTAGCAGTTATTTATATGTAACCAGAATTAGAGAGCATATAGGATGCAGGGAGAAGTCAGATAACTATTAAAATAGTCCAAGAGAAGTAATTTTGAACAAGGGTAGTAGTCATAGGATTGGAGAGGGTTAGGGTGTTTACCAGGAGAGTAGAATTTAGCAGTATACAGAATGTGAGGAAGAACAATCTAAGATGACTACGTTTGAAGTTTGGGAAAGATGAAGAATGGTAGTAGATGAATGAAATTGATATCACACAATGAGAAATGGGTTATAGAGGAAAATGACAAGTTTCATTTTAATCATAGTAATTATCTCTTTAAAATCTTTAGAATTGCTCTTCTAGCTGATGAGTTTTGATTAATTGGTGCTGTAGGCCCTTTTGAAATTAAGTTGAGTTTTGGTTCTTTCTGAACAATACAGAGTTATGACTGCTTTTAGACATCCATTTAGTGCCTGTTATAGAGTGATGGTCACTCCTGAAGACACAGAAAAACACTATCTTGTCCATTGATGAGACAATGTTGAGAGGTCTAGCAATACTTGTTTGTCCTTTTCCCTGACGCATTTTTCCCCATTTCCTCATTAAGCATACAGTCTGACACACAATAAATCAGTAAATTACTCTCTTGTGGTAAATGTTCAGGTATGGTGTCTCAGTCTGTTAAGTGCTACTATAACAGAATACCACAGACTGGGTAATTTATAAAGAACGGTTATTTCTCACAGTTTTGGAGGCCGGAAATCCAAGAACAGGTGCTTGGGCATCTGGTGAGAGCTGTTTTGTGCTTCCAAGATATTCTGGGTTGTCTGTAGGGGAAGGATGCTGTATCCTCACATGGCAAAAGGTGGAAGGGCAAAAGGGGTCAAACTGCCTCCATCAAGCTATTTTATAACTCATTAATCTGTTAATGGGAGCAGAGCCTCATGACCTAAACACCTCCCCAAAGGCCCTGCCTCCCAACCCTGTTGCATTGGGGATTACGTTTCCAAAACATGAATTTTGGGGGCCACATTCAGACCACAGCATGTGGTAAAGTACTGTGGAATACACTTGGAGGAGCAGCTCTACCTAGAGGGTAAGGTGCCCTTTAGGTTGGACCTTACATCTGTCTACAAAGGTAAACAGTGTGTGTTTTCTAGGTAGAAGGGCAGCATGACCAAAAGCATGTAGGAGTGATAGTGCACGGTTTATAATTAAGGTAGTTGTGTTGGTGGATTGTGCAAACATCTATAAATTCCAAGGATCTTAAAGTGTTAGACTTAGGATTCCAGTAGTCGTCTTCTGCCAGAATTAGGGTGCTCTAGTTACTGGGTTTCCAAAGTTACATTTGATCATGTAGGGAATACTTAAGATTAACGGGTAGAGGAGGAGCCAGTATCAGTTCACAGACCTGCATTACTGCATGTGCTCATAATACACCTACTGATACATATTTTAAATTTATATTGTTAAAATCACCTAAGTGTTATGATTTTTTTCTAACCAACTATGATGTTCTAATGGATGGGAAGTTTAAAAATTGATCAACGTTTTTTTCCCACCTTATTAGTACAGCTCTCATACCGGCTTTTCCTGTAGGGCAAGGGATAAGGGAATGGAGAGGGATGGGGTAAGAATAAACAAACTCTTAGTAGCTCCCCCTTGTTTACAGAATGAACTCCAACATTCAAGACTTCACAATCTCAATCTAACTTTTCTAGTTATTATATATGAGAAGAGGTAAGGGAAAACTAAGTAATAGTACACTGTAATATTTAATAACCTGCAAATTCAAAACAACCCTGGAAACTGAAAGACCCAAGAGGATAGAATATTGGGAGACACTGAGTATGACGGAGCGATTGGTCTTGTATTGTATTCTTGAGTTGCACAGGTCACTGCTGCATTCATAACTGTTCTTATGAAGGTAGAATGCCTTTCATAAATGGATTGCAAAGGAGAGGGATTCTCTTCAAATTAAAGTTCTGACTTATTTGATAACCACATTTGGCCAGCTTTAAATATTTATCTTTAATATTGAATAGCTTTTCTGTACCTCTCTTGTAAAGCAATAAGGCAAGACAAATTATCAATATAAAGTACTGTGCAGATTAGCACAAGCTGGGCTGTAAAGAAAATTTGGCTAATGTTGACTTATGGGGGAAACACATTATCTGACAATACAGTTTTGAATTTGCATAGTACTTATGCTCATAAGAACTCAGACTACAGTTGATTTTAAGATACATGGAAAAAGGGTGGCAATTTTGGGAGTTAACTAAATGTCTCCTAATTCTTCAGTATTTTAATCATAACTTTAATAGTAAAATCATTTTCTGTAGAAATCTTATCTTGTAACTACTATAAATTTAGCATTTCCTTATATGGAGCTCTTCTCATAAAGTTCTTAACTTTACCTCATGTTTTCAAAAAAAACCTCATAAGCCACTTTCACCTTTTCTCACTCATTTATCCAGCAACTAAAATGTTCCACATTCTTTATCAAACACACCTCAATTTATTCTCTTTTGCTCTCACCACCACAAGGTCTTTTATAGCTGTGTGGCCCCTTGCAAATATTCCTGGGTTTCTTTCCCTCTCAGGGCTCAATTCTCTGTAGTCAGTCTTCTCAGAAAAGACCTATCTATAACCAGGATTCCCATGGAAAAAGCAACAAATTATTTCTTTTGAATCTTTTGACAGAAGAATATTGATAAAGACTATACTGATTTAGCTTTAAGCTTATTTTCAACTATAAATTCTCAGTTCACAGGGTGAATTCATTTGTCTCATCTGTAATTTTTGGGGGGAATCTAATGCATCTCAGGAAAAGCATATCAGAGCATTCAAACCTGGCCTTATTTAAATAGATATTTTGGGACAACAATACTAAGTCACAAAAGGAGATGGAGTATTCAAACCTAGCTAAGTATTAAGCTCTGGATTCTAGTTTGCAGGAAATACTGACTTGAGGAACAAGTTAAATGACACCATATCTAGCCTGACCTCAAATGCAGTGTCACGAGAAAAGGGGGAGAGGGACAGCAGGGCTGTTCTACATTTAGGGAGACTTAAGAAATGTAACCACCAAATTCTATGTGAAGTCCTTAACTGGATCCTGGTTTGAGGAAGCCAGCTGTAATACATTTTGGGGAGAATTGGGAAAATTTATATTACTGGGCATTTGAAGATATTAGGGAATTACTGTGAATTGTTAGATGATGACATATGCTTAGGTAGAATAATACCATTTTTTTAAAATGCAAGTTGACATGTTTAAGGGTGAAGTGTCATGATATTTGTAATTTACTTCAAACAGTAAGCAAATATGAAAACACTGAAACTTAGGTAATGAGTATGGGTGTTTGTGCCAGTTAAATTTATTGTCTCTCAGCAACAAATTCATCTTTCATTGCCTGAGTTTGTGATACTGGAGCTGGACCTGTGTCTTAGTTTGTGCAGCTATAATAGAGTAATACATGAGACTGGCTAATTTATGAAGAACAGAAATGTATTTGTCACAGCTGTGGAGGCTGGGAAGTCCAAGATTAAGGCACCAGCATTTGTTGTCCGGCAGGACCAGTTTCTTGCTGCATCCTCACATGGCAGAAGGGCAAGCTATTAGAATGCTCCGTGAACCCCCTTTTGTAAGGGTCTAAATCCTGTTCATGAAAGAGAAGCCCTCATGGCCTGGTCACCTCTTAAAGGCCCCGCCTCTTAATAGTATCACACTGGCAACACTTGGATTTTGGAGGGGGCACATTCAAACCATAGCAACCTATAATAAACATTTTGCCTTTGCTAGCTAGCACCATGTTAAGCTTTGTCAGTAGGGGGTGGTTTCACATTTGAAACTTATTCTAGTTTTCAAATCTGAACCTGGAACAAGTTTCAAATATGAAATGTTTTCATGTTTGCTTAGTGTTTGAAGTAAATTACAAATATTGTGACACTTTTAAATATTTCAGCTTGCATTTTCAAAACATGGTATTCTATTTAAGCATTACCATGCAGTGCTACTTAAACGTTACCATGCTTAAGTAGCACTGTAGGAGGAAGGGGGTTTTCTTGTTTCTCCTCTTCTATGGTACAGCTGCCTGGGGTGCTTTTGGACACTGTGATGGTTAATTTTATCTCAACTTGGCTGGGCCACAGGGTGCCCAGATATTTGATCAAACGTTATTCTGAGTGTTTACGTGAGGGTGTTTTTGGATAAGACTGACATTTAAATCAGTGAATTTTGAGTAAAGCAGATTGCCTTCCATGTTGGTGGGCTTCATCCAATCAGTTGAAGGCCTGAACAGAACAAAAAGACCAGCTCCTTCCAAGCAAGAGAGAATTCCTCAACAGACTGCCTTTGGACTAGAACTGTACCATCAGCTCTCCTGGGTCTCCAGCATCCTGGCTCACATTGCAGATCTTGGACTTGTCACGTCAATAATCATATTAGCCAATCTTTATAATGGTTCTGCTGCTTTGGTGGTTCTGCTTCTCTGGAGAACTCTCACTAATGCAAATACCTACTGAGGCTTACTGTCCAAAAAGTTTTGCTCATACCCTACCAGGCTTCTTGCTTACCAGTCCTGACGGTTTGAGGTTCGCTGCCTGTAAGACCTGATCTACCAACTTGACACCAGCTCTGCCCCAGGACAGCCCAGGGATCCTCTCCATCGCTGTGTAGGCTGCAGCCACACCCTCTCAAATAGGCCTAAATTCACCTTGAGGAAGGGAACTCCTTCCAAGGGTGTTCTTTCCTTGGGTACTCGCTTTCAGTCCTAATGTATGAGTTCTTTTATCCCTCTTAATAGCTAACTCCATTATCAGTTAACATTTCTCTATAGAAATTAATCGTATGGTTTCTTCCTCCTGACTGGACCTTGACTGATATAGTATTTACTGTCATGTTTCATTTTATATTTGAAGTTTATTATAATCAGAGTTAAACCCAATTTTTGATTACCCATTAAATATTTACATATAACAGGACAAAGGACTATTTTCCTCTGCCTACTTCTGGTAAGGATGAGTCCAAGATTGACAGTCGTGATTACATATGGCCCCCAATTTACAGTGGTTTGACTTATGATTTTCTGACTTTACCATGGGTTTACTGGGACGTAGCCCCCCATCTTAGGTCAAGGAGCTCCTACAACTTACAAATGCGTATCTGTTTCACATCATCATAAAGATGAAAAATTGTTAGTTAAACCATCCTTAAGTAGGGGACTGTGTGCTGTGTTGTGTTGCTAGTATTAAATGAATTTAAGATATTTTTGACTTATGATGGTTTTATTGGGAAGTAGCTCCATTGTAAATGGAGGAACATCTGTATATTGTATGTTTTTTACTGATGCATTGAGAAGTATTTATATAAATTATCTAGGTCTCAAGAATATGCATATTACTTCCAACTGTGTTAATTCTTGTTTTTCAAGAGAATACAGGTGACTATTTACATACAATATGATTTGCTATAATAGAAATTTTCTAAGCTATAAAAAGTCTTTAATAACAAATCAACTTAAACTTTTTGAGAAATAATTTCTACTAAAGATTCATAATCAGCATAGTCCTTCAGTGACTGTACAAGTTCATCCAGTAGATAATCTCCTTGCATAAAAGTTTCAAGATCATGTAGTGACTTGTTTATTCTGTGATCTGTGACCCGGTTCTGTGGAAAATTATATGTTCTTATTTTCTCTGACCTTCCTTTAGTTCCAACCTGTATGTATAAAAAGAGATAATGAGATACAGTTAGATTTGGGGCAACCTCAACCTACAAGTTTAACTTACTTGGAGATTAAGTTCTTGATTTATAACATGAATCAAAATGTAAGAAACAAGTTTTAAACATTTTGAATCCCCAAATGACATGAGAACATGATACAGAAAAAAGAACATAGGCTTTAAAATCAGACAGATCAATATTGAGTCCTATCTTTGCCATTTCAGTGCTTTATGACTTCAGGCAATTCACCTCAACTTTAAACTTTAGTTTCCCCATCTAAAAATACAATTATCTACTACACAGTGATGACGTATCTTCTCTGCATTAATGTAGTCATCTTCAGTGGTGTGAAGGTGAATTCCCCATAATGAGGAATTTTTTTTTTTTTTTTTTTGAGACAGGGTCTCTCTCTGTTGCCTGGGGTGCAGTGCATTGATATCATCATAGCTCACTGCAACCTCCAACTCCCAGGCTCAAGAGATCCTCTGGCCTCAGCCTCCCGAGTCGCTGAGAGTACAGGCGTGCAGCACTGTGCCTGGGTAATTTTTTTTCTGGTTTGTTGTAGAGATGGGGTCTCGCTATGTTACTCAGGCTGGTCTTGAATTCCTAACCTCAAGCAATCCTCTTGCACCTTGGGCCTCCCAAAGTACTAGGGTTACGGGCGTGAGCCACTGCATCCAGCCCATATTGAGGAATTCTTCAAAGGCTCTAGAGTTATAAAATTAAATACTAACCAGGAAGAAAGTAAGTTCAGTACACTTTCCAACTTTCTTGCTTTTATAATTTCGAAGGATTAAAAATGAAGAGAGACTCTATCGTTTTTTAGTAACTTTAAAAGTCTGACAAAAATGCCTTTGAATGTAGAAAACAGGGTAGAGATGTTAAGATTTCTATAAAACAAGCACAACCCTTAAACTACTTGAATTTTTTATTTTGACAGATATTAAAACAATTTTGACATTTATAAAAACTGAGTTATCTAAAATTTTTGTTTGAACACATTTTTAAAATTCATTTTACCTGAATCTTTCTAGCATTGTATCTTTTACTTGTTTCTTCTTCTAGATACATGCTGTACAGTTTTGCACGTAACTTTTTCATAGCCATCTCTCTATTTTTCAGCTGAGATCTCTCTTGTTGGCATTCAGAAACAACACCTGAATAGTGTTATGAGAATTAAAGAGTTTTAATAAAAAATTCTTCTTTATTTTTTATCAAGGAATACTCCTTTTCTTTCTTATCTTTTTCTTCTTCCTTTATAAATGGAAAAAAACAGGACTCTAATAAAAAACTATAAACTTAATAATTTGTACAGTTTATCAGAAAAATGAAAATTTAAGTTTGAGCTGTAGCACAAAGTATTTCCATATTGAAGGCATACACACTAAACAATAAGCATAAGTCATTTAATATGGATTGTTCTCCCTCAGCTAGCCACTAAAAGGTTTTTAATGTAATAACTACTAGAAGTTAGATATCCTATTAGTAGAGATAATCACTATTAATATTTTTGAGGATTTCCATTTTTTTCCCTATTCCTGTTTATATACCCTGTATTACCTAAGACATCACCAAGTTTAACATAAGGATTTTTCTATAACTAAAAGAACAAAATCATAGCAATCCAGCACTCCCAACCAGTATTGGTTAATGAGAATTATGCCAATTTGAGATCAGTCATAGTAAGAGATTCTTGTATTCTTTTATATTCTTTCTAGATAACTGAGGCTTGCTATCCATATACTCTTTATCACCTGTAAATCATTACAGCAATATTTGTGAAACACATTTAGTTCTGCCTACTAGTATGCTGAAGACTCTTAAGAAAGACTGAGATGCAATCTCTTTGCGTTAACTATCTAGAATCAGATTCCCTGGAGGTGGGTGAATGAAATTAACGGGAAGAAACAAAACCTTGAATGTGTGTATGTTTCTAGGTAGGAGGTCCAATGCTTTCACTTTTCACAGGAGTCCGTGTTCCCCTCCCCCTGACAAAAGACTAAGAACCAGTGATTTAGTGCATTTTCTGATAAAGAACCTATAATTACTTTACTGTGAGGATTTTTTTTTTTAAATAGCTAAAACTATTAAGTGTAAACTTCAGAAGGCCACCTGGAAGGACTACCCACACCTTCTACTCATAGTCACTAACATGGAAACTCCCTGGGTTTAGATCCCTCTCTCTTCAAAATTATCCAACAGAATATCAGCTAAAGATTCTAAAATCAAGTATTTAATACCAATTCTTAGTTGTATACATTCCTCTGGTAATTGAGGATCTACTTCAATGGGAAATTAGTCAAGTCATTCAGAAATTGATTTCTTTCTTCAGTGTTACATTGAAGGAGTAAGTACATACCTGTTGGAAGGTGAACTATCCGGACAGCACTGTCCGTGGTGTTTACATGCTGCCCCCCAGCTCCACTGGCTCGCTTAGTGTCAATTCTCAAATCTTTAGGATTAATCACCAGGTTAATCTATACAGAAGAAGAAAAGTTGGCATTTTAAAAAATTACATATATCAATTGTATAAAGGCAAGAACTACCCATTTATAAATGCATGTCATGTACCGAATTTATACAAGATTTATAAGGTTTAAGAATAGAAAGTAGTTGGAATTTTTAAACTCTTTTCCTTTTTGGAAGAGTAGGGAATCAAAACAAAACATCATACAAGATGAAAACAAACCTGCCCTAATCCTCATAAAATGAGACTCTCTTTAAATTAGTCCCTTCTTACCACAGGAACAGCAGAACTTGTTAATAGCTACTGTCAGAAATGTCAATATATGAACTAAAGTGAGACTCTCTAGAATTTTTCTGAGTTTAAAAAGACTAGCAGAGGAAAAAAACAATGCTAGCTTGACAACTACAGGAAGGGTTTATGTTGTTTAATTTCAAACATATTTGGAGGCAGAAGTGAGGTGAATGGCCAAGAAGTCATGGTTATAGACTCCATTCATGAATACACTGGGATCTATGTCAAGACAATCCTCTGTCCTGGTAGCCACCAGCAAAAGCACTCAAGTTTAAATAGTATTTTTTCATGAAAAACTATGAACCACTCTATGCCATTTCAACAACCCTGCAGTAAGAATCCTACCATTCCCTAGGCCCTCAAGTCTCCCCACGTGACTCCCTTTTATGTTTGCTAGAAGAATTAGATGATATATGGACCTCAGTCTTCCATCTTTCTTGAAAACGCTCTCCCTTAACTACTTACTTTCTCATCTAGGCCTCACGAAAATTTGATCTAAAGAAACCAGCAAGATGTAAAGACAGGAACTCCATTAACTCTATTAGAGTCTAATAGGACTTTTTCCCAAAATTAATATAAAAACCCTCAAACTTCCTTCTCCTCAAAGCATTCATACTTCATTCTCAAAACAAAATCAAATATTTCCTACCACTTTTCAGCAGAAGGGAAATAAAGCAAAAGAACTTCTAAACTAAGTTATCTTACCAATATGGATTGAGAATTTGCTTTGTGAGAATAAAGTATACTCATTATGAACACTATAACAATATATTTCAATTTTGATGTGATTGGGTTATGAAATAGCAATTCTGTTAAGTAATTACCATGTTAAAATAGGATTCTTGCTATTGATACCCTGGGAACCAGTCACACAAAGTTATTATGAAGGCAACCAGTCCATGTTTAAATATGTTATTACTTCACCTGTAGAAATGGCCACACAATGACTACATTAGCGGAGAAAAAGTCATACATAGACAATGCAAGATTGGATCATTTATAAATCCTTAATTCTGATCAGCTATTGTAAAATTGTAGTTTTTGGACTGAGATAATAGATTATCAAAAACAACTCAAAATACATAAGGAAGACCAAATGATAAAAAGAAAGGAGATACTCAATTCAGTAAGGTCTGAGTAAACTCTGGAGGCAAGACATTGTGCTTGGCCCAGAATTCCAAGGAGAGGGAGAGGCTTATTATGCCTTACCTCAGTAGGCTGGGGTAATATTGCCACAGTCATGGTGCTAGTATGGATGCGGCCTTGCTTCTCTGTCTTTGGCACTCTTTGTACTCTGTGCACACCTCCTTCAAATTTCATATGCTTATAGGCTTCTGAACCCCCAATGCTGGCAGATGCATGTCTAAGGCCACCTTGAAAATATAGGGAAAACAGAATTCTTTTTATTATTGCTTACATTTATAAATAATTGACCATCACATCTACTATTTTGAAATATATTTAAATGAGTCACAAAAGGATATAAGCACAGAGATTATAAAACATTAAAATAGTGTTTTACACTTAATCTTTATTGCTTACAGTTATTAAATATAAAGCATTTATGGGACTAATGAACTGATGTCAATAACACATCTAAAAGACCACTTTTAAAGACCATTAGTAATTCAATGGTTCATATTACTGAATGACTATCCATTACATTTTACAGGCCATTTCAAAATTGGTATATTTGCATTCAAATTTATTAGCTAAATGATGAGCATAAAACTACACAAGCTTCCTTACAATTAAGTTCCAAAGCCTAGTCATGATCTCCCCCACCCTTTTCCTAAGACATGTGTAGATAAAATCTATACTTTTATCTAAAACAAATTGAGCAGTTCACTGACCTATTTCACTTGGAAAATATTCCAGGGTTTCAAAATGCCATCTTTTAAAAGCAGCATATTGCTGATACATTTCAAATATCTCTGAAGTGAACAACATTGCCTCCTGACCCCCAACTCCTGCAGTCACCTCCAGGATCAAATCGTTTTCATCTGTTTCTTCTGAGGGAACCAAAAGTAAGATAATCTGTAAATACAAAAATATCACCCCTCCTATATTAAAAATTATTTTAAATGTACCATCCAAAAAGCTAAATGATTAGATTCAGGAATTTTAAATAGTTTCTTTAAGCAAATAATATTGCTGAGTACTGTTCAACCATCTTGCCAGTCAGAACCATGTAATACATAACTCCCATAAAGTATTAATGTTACAAATGTATTATAGATGGTATAAGATTCAGCTAAAACTTACAGGCTTGTTTTATTCGAGTTCTTGTATGCTTTATATCAATTCTCTACTCAGTTAACAAGAATTAAGTGCTAGCTGTGAGTAGGACATTATACCGTGTGTAGAATGCAAAAGAAGATTCTAGTCTATCCTTTTGAAATTTAAGGCCTAACGCAGAAAAACTAAAACATTCAAGATTGCATTTGTATTTGTTTTAAGCTTCCTTAATACAGAAGAGAAATTTGTAATTTTGAAACTGAAAAAGGCCCCTAGAGATGATCTGGTCCATCCAGTTCCCTCATTTTACATGTAAAAGAAACTGAGGTTAAGGGAGATTAAATTACTTGTTAAGGGGCAAAGTGTTAGTTACTGTCCTAGCAGGCACAAGAACGTAAATCTTTGTGCCCAGATCATCTTCCTACCAGTGCAATAGTATGTTTCGCACCTAAGTTTGTACCAATTACAGGGATCTAGAATAAAGGCTTCTTAGATTAGGTCAGTAAGAAAAGCTACCAACAGTTACTGGTTCTTTAATATATGGCAGGTATTCTGCTAAGCACTATACATACTTTAATTCTTTTTGTTTATTTGTTGTTTTAAGAGAGAGGATTTCACCCAAGCTGGAGTGCAGTGGCACAATCATAGCTCACTGCAGCCTCAAATTTCTGGCCTCAAGTGATCCTCCTTCCTTGGCCTTCCAAAGTGCTGGGATTACAGGCATGGGCCACTGTGCCAGGCCACATTAATTCTTAAAACAATCTTGGGTAGGTACTATTAACAGTTCTACATTAAGATGTGAAACTAAGTTAAGAGGGGTTGATCTTAATCTAGTTAATCTAGTCACCCAACATTATACAACTAGAAAGTGGAAGACGTGGAACTGAAACCAAGTGTACCTGAGTTCTAAACTGTCACACTTCACCTTGGTCAGGAGCTGTACTTATTACTACTTTTCCATCTCTCTATCCTATGCTAATACAATGTGATCGTTCACATCTTGAACTAACAATAGAGTTCACTTCTCTTTGTTGGTTAGTAGCCACTGAACTGTGTAACCTTTAACACATATGTCCTTCTAATTCACAAAAAATTTAGAAAATGGGTAAAAGGCAAGCTACATTAGACTTTTCACCCTATAGTGGAACTCTCCCTCTCGAGTAGGTTCTAGGGACATTAATTTTTAATAATTTTCACATTTGGCTAAAGAAGAGGCAGAATCTCAAAACTAAGCATTCCCTTCCCTGGCTCCTTCCTCACTTTAGCATGTTCTTTCACTTATTATCCTGAGATAACTGCTGTCAACTTTTAATTTCTGCTTTACAGAATTAGCAAAGAATGATTCTAATTTCATGATTGTTCTTCATCTAATTCCTATATGTTCTCCTGCAGTTCTCCTGGATGTAAACCAAAGCAATATAATTCAGTTCTTAAAATCCTAAGGGCCTATTCTTGGTCTGGCATTCTCACAATGCCAGAGACAAAAAATAAATATTCCTGCCCCTGAGGAGCTCAGTCTACCATCACTCAGTAACCTCTTCTACCCAGTACTTACCTAAACCCCCTTAACACATTGACTGCCACACTAGAAAATTTTTTTCCTTCAGGCCACGGTGTTTTATTACGAAAATACAATACAAAATTCGAAAACAAAATTATCCTTTCTAATTTAATGAAAAATTTGTTATTTTTTATCGTTTTCTGTGCGTGAGTTATATGCAACTTGAAAAATAGTTCACACAGCTCCCAAGGTGAAGAGACGTGAGTTACATATGCTTCACAAGGCCCCAGACTCAAAACTAGCATGAGTTAAATACAACTCACAGGGCATTTCATGTGTTAAAAACCAAAAGAGGGGAGATATGCCCATATTTCATCACCTTTCCAAAAAGTGCTATCAGTGTGATATTTGTCTTTCTGTGAGAGCTCTACAGTCTTTTTTTTAAAAAAAATAGATTTAGGGGATACAAGTTGAATTCTATTACATGTATATATTGTACAGTGGTGAAGCCTGGGCTTTTAGTATACTACAATCCTTTTAATATGATTAAAACAGAACCACATGAAGTATACCTTTTCTTTCTTTAAAAACCAGTTTATTGACAGTGGTGATCATCATTTCATAGTGTATCCTTGTATCAAAACACCATATCATACACCTTAAATATATATTTTTATTTGTCAATTACACTATAATAAAGCTGGAAAATAAAAACAACCCAGTTTATTCTAAATAGTAATAAATTATGTCTTGAATTGTTTTTATAAACCTCTAATAAAACGCATAAGTAACTGCACAAATGCCTTATTTTTTGCACAAATACCATACCTGATGCTTCAACTGAGTTATTTCTTTTTGACACAAAGTTATTTCATTTTCTGCAAGTTTCCTTAAATCTTCATTCTTATCTAAGAAAAAAAAGGCAGCAGTTAAGTTGTTCTTAATTAGTATTAAATTGCCAAAAGACTTACAGTTAATAGTTTTGTTACTGTAGCTTAAGGAAAAAAGAAAATGTCTTATCTTGTCCTTTTAATAAATGCCATTAATTAAAAGTAGCATTTTATGCACTCATTTTCATAAGCGTGTGGGTGTAAAAAAAAAACAAAACTTTTTTTCTGATGATCAAAGGATAAGAAACTAAAGTCTCTATAAAAAATACAAAGAAGCTAAGCTTTTCTGTAGTTTCACCTCTGTAGTTACATTAATAAATGTTTTTCATTTTCCAACTTAGACTATACAATAAAAAATGAATACATTAGCTAGTTAGACAGAAGGGGAACAAAAGTTCCCACCAGTTAAACCAAAACTGAATTAAAATTGTGAAAGTTATTTATTGTCTTATTAGTAAATGTTTCATTAATATAAAATAAGTATCCACCCAAAAATATTTATTAGACGCTGCCTAATGTTTACAGAATCTTTACATGAAGTATTCCCCTCTCTGGCTTTACCCCTATTTTTCATTTTTGAATTCTCATTTTTTCCTTACAAAATATACTTTTTCATTCCTCTACCCTATGGACAATATGCAGCCTATAGAAAGGAGGAAGGAATAGGGAAATTTTTTAGCTATTACAAATTGGTCTCTACTCTTTGTAACAAAGTATCAGTTTGTATGCTTATCTATTAAAAAACCAACCATGCTGGGAACTGGGGATAATACACATATACGACCAGCCCTCAAGGCAGGATTATAGATAATTTTATTTTCTTCATATTTTTCTAGAGGGGAAAACTTGCAAAGAATAGCAACCTAAAACACTCTGTGACCAAATATTAAAACAGTAGCATCTTGAAGGAATTTCATTTGTTTGTTTTGGGGATGGGCAGAAAAAGGAAAGAAAGGTTAACTCACGGAGAATGACAACAGCAAACTTGAGACAAGCAAGTACAGGAAGCATCGGTGGAAATTATTTTGGCAAGTGTATGGTATGGCAGAAATTTGAATTAGGAAAAGGAAAAATGAATTCCAGCCCTAGCTCAACTGCTAAGGTGCTCTCTTAGAGCAACAAGCTCAACTTCTCTGAGTCTCAGTTATGTCAAGCATATAATGGAAGTTCTAAGGTGTCTTTCAGTTCTGAAATATGTTCTGCAAGGCTAAGAACATTGGAACTAGAGTCTAGAAGTAATTTAATCTTAATACTACCTTTTATTTAACCCAGTATTCCCAAAATATTATCATGTCAACATATAAAATTATTAATTTTTAATACCAAGCCTGAAATCTCTGTGTACTTTACACTTACAGTACATCTCAATTCAGACTAGCCACATACAGATGCTCAACAGCCATGTGTGGCTACTAACTACCCTACTGGACCACGCAGCTCTAGAGGGGTTTAGACTGAGGAGTAATTCATAGTAACATGTGAGTTCTTTAATTTCTCTTTCAATATCATAAATCAGCATATGTTTAGTGGGCACTTACTGCATGCCTGCCTTCTGCTTCCCCTCTGCCTACAAAGATAGAAAGATGTTTAGTTTCCCCATTCTGAAAGGGTCCGTTTCTTTTCAACCCCTGAAGTAACTCCATGTTGTCATCCCCTCTTTTCCCACCAAAATTTCTGGAGATAAAATGCCATATTTATTATTTTTCTGCTAACTCTAATTTACTTCTTAAGTTGTTACCACTGGATTGAATAATCATATGGACAGTGGTGATCATTTCATAATACATGCATACATCAAAACACTGCATTATCACCTAAAATATATACCATTTTTACTTGTCAATTATACTCCAATAGAACTGGAAAATAAAAACCCAGTTTATTCTAAATAGTAACAAATGAATTATTAAAATCACGAGTGACAAAACTACCAAATCTAATGACTTATTTCAGTGTGAGCTGAAAAGGCAAGCTTTTACCTTTGTAAGTCAGATAGTGACAATCCCTTACTTCATGAAATTTTCTTTAATTGGTTTCTACAGCTTCATTTATTTATCTGGTTCAAGCTCTCAAAGCTTTGCCTGTTCTTTCTTGATCTTTTATAGTTTTCTTCTCTGCCTGCTCCACAAATACTATGTATTTTTGGCACTATTAGGCTTGTTTCTATCTTCACAAATTTTCCCCGAGTATTTTCATCTACTTCTAAGGTTTTAATTTATCATGTACTATATATCCTGAGAGCTCTCATAGGATTATTCAGGCTCAATTTTTCTCCTAGGCCAGTAGTTTTTTTCTCCTAGACTAGTATGTATATCTTTATCTGAATGTCCTTCTTGTAAGTATTTTTAACTTAAAATAGCCATTCAATGCAAAACTCATCTTTTTCCTAAATTTGATCAAATGTTTATGTTTTCATTTTAATTAACAATACCACTCATGTTTTGAAGCCAGAAGCCTAATAAGACTTCTCTTAGACTACTGTCTTTCCTTCATCCTTTTCAGGACCTAAGCCACCAAATCCTGTTGTTCCCCAGAATATCTTGGGAGTCAGAACTGTGCCTGTCACCACCTCTCCCTTGGACTGTTTCAACAGCCTCCTCCCTGGCTTTTCAGCCACCAGGGCTTCTAGAGAATACTCCAGTTCATCCTCAACACTGATGCGAACATTAACTTTCTTACTTCTCTGTATAAAAACTTATGCTAACTTCCCATGGTCTATAAAAACAAATTCTTAGTCATGTAAGGTTCTTAATTGTCTTTCTAGTTTCAAGTTCCTATTACATTATCATCTCCCACACCTATTCTATGCTCCTGCCATATCGTATTTCCCATTTTGGTACCTTTACCTGTCCATGGTCACCTCTGCCTTCAATTCCCTTCTCTTGCACCACCCGACAAACTCCTGCTTACCCTTTAAGATCCTTTTAAATGCAGCCTTTGCTCTTACAACACTCTGCTCTTTACCACAAAAGTTAAACACTAATACACTTATATTTTTACTTCTTACACATCTCTCTCCCTTACCTAGGTGCTGTAAGCTCCTAAAAGTAGTTCCCTAATTTTTTGGTAATTAGTCCTGTGTGACACATAGTAAGAACTGAAGATTTGATGAATAACATTTTCTATTGTTTAAGCTGAGTTGCATTCTGTCAGCAACACCTTTCTAATAATCTGTTAGGTTCTCCATAGTTTGATTTTTTTAAATAGCTAACCCTTAAATCCACTTGGATTTTAAGTTTGGCTTAAGCTATGAAACCAACTTAATTATTCCTCAAAAGATATTTTTCCCAATGCCATTTATTAATCTTTTGTTTTTTTAAAACTCTAGGAATGCCCCTTTTCTCTTAAATCACTTTAAACTCTTCTTAACTCTCCCTTACACTACTGTGTTAGCTGCCTATTTTTCCTGGCATCTTCAGTCTCATTTCCAAGTTGGCTTCTAAACTGCCACAAATCAAGTTTCCTAAGTGACCAAACTAATTCTGTTACTCACTCCCCAATCTAAAAGCTTCTGCTGGCTCCTTTCTGCCAACAGGATAAAAACCAACCTCTTAGATTAGTATTCAATTCCCCATACAAAATGGTTCCAACCTGCCACTCCCCATAACCTCACCTCTTTTATTCTTTAGTTAACAGAGAGTACAGTGATTAAGAGCATGAGATTTGCAGCCCAATCCCAACTCCATTTCTTATAAACTGTGTAACCCTGAACCGAGTTATTTTACCTCTTTATTGCTGAGGTTCGTCTTTTGTTGCATGGGGCTAACAGTCCCTACCTCATAGTTAACTGGAGGAATTGATGCATAAAGAAAACTAAGCAAAGCCCATAGTACGGGATCAATAAAGGTTAAAACTATTATTATATCCTCTCAGGGTGGGCCTTTACATCTCTGTAATGCCTTCCCAACACTTCCTTGCTTTCCTAGTTATTTAGTTGTACATTTGTATCTGCTCTCACTTATCAGCTGTACTATATGTAATTAATTCTGTCTCCCCCAACAGACTGCGACCCTCTCTAAAGCCTTGCTACCCAAAGTGTGGTACACGGACCAGCAGTTCGGTATCCTTAGGAGCTTGTAGTAATGCAGAAACTTAAGCCCCAATTCCGGATTCAAATGCGCGCGAAACACGTGGGGAGACTTGTTTAAAATGCATATGCCTAGGTCTCAAATTCTGATTCCCAAGTCTGGTTTTAACAAATACTGCTCCTGATATATTGTAGATAGTCTCCATGCCACTTTGAGAAACATTGCGCTCAAGCCCAAAGCGACAGTGCATCATTTGTCCTTACTGAGGTAATGAGCTTCTGCCAGAGAGTATGCAACAAGCGTCAATCTAAATTCTGTGAAAGGGAGTGAAGCACGAGAGAGCCAACAGGAGAGAGGATCAAAACGCACATAATAATGTCTTGACTTTTGATCCAAAACAAAACTGCTTAAGTGAGTAGTTTCAAACGCGGGTAGAGTGTGGGCATCGCCAGTGGCTTAGTGGAAAAAGCAAACGAAGAGTCAAGAATCTGCTCTGACACCGCTCTCCTGGGCCAGGCCCTTACCGTGCAGCAGGTGCTCGGTCTCTCGCAGCTCCTGCTCCTTCTCGCTCAGCCGTTTGGCCACCGCCACCAACTCAGGCCTGACCTGCAACTGGGTTTCAGACCCTGCCTGGCGCTCAAGGAAGGTCCGCAAAGGCCCGCCGCTGGAGAACAGTTCTTCCAGTGGCAGGCTACCGTAGCTTAGAGGCCGGCGGGCCGGACCCACAGCCGGGCGGGCCCAGAGGCACCGGGCAACGCCCCACAACAGCCAGGGCCGCATCGCTACTCTGAGATCGCGGAGCACGACCAGGACAGGAAGTTCCGGACAGCAGGTCTCGCGATACCACACGGAACTCGGAAATAGGAGCGAGGGAGACCAAGGCCTGCCCTGCGCACGCGCTGTGTTATAGGGCCTCCCGGAAGCTTTGGTGGGAACTTCCGGCTAAGGCTGAAGATGCTGGAGAATTCCCGGAGGCCAAAAGTTGAGGTGGCCGAACAGAAAACAGTAGGGGCTGGGCTGTCAGCCCGTAACTGCGGGAGAACCTGGGCCTCACCAAACGTGCCCCGGCGGCATGTTGGGCTAGAAGGGGAAAGCAGCAAGTTGCCGCTCTGCTGGCGGCGAGGATTTGTTTCCCAAGCACTGAATGGGGAGTTCAAGAACCTCTGCAGGGACAGAGGTCACAGCCACCGAAGTCTGTCCCTAGTGCCAGCCTAGCCCTTAGTCTCCAAGAGCGAACTTAAGGATGGTTGTGTGTGTGTGTGTGTGTGTTCATTTCTTTTCCTTCTTTCCTGCTCATGTTTCTCTTTTCCACGGTGGGTCAGGTTCATGTTAGTGAGGACGTGACAAGTGTATTCTAAGACAACCGAATAAATTTACAAAATCTACGTTCCTGCCTGCATCTGCCTCGTAACTGAGTTGTTTTCAAAAGACTTTCTTCCTCACCTGCACGTTCCTTTTCCCAGTTTCCGCCCGCTACTTTTTAAAGAGGTTGGGTGAATCCGTGTTAGACAAACTACAGCACAACAAAACCTTCAAAGGTGGCCCAAACCCCATCCCTTAGCAAAAAACTGCACATAGCAGATAGGTGTCAGGAATAGTAAAGTTTATTGGTATAATGCTTTGCAATTTTCAAAAGATCTAGTCACAGTCTAGCACAGAAACGGAGGTGATGGATTTAATACAAGCAAGACCGTCCTGGGAATGAAAGGGCTGAGGGCTCGATGTGGAAAATACATATTGCCTGGTTTGGTCAGGGTCTATTAAATGCTGTTTCGCTGTTGAGAGAAAGGACATATTGAAAGAGCTTCTAAATTAGTTTTAAAAAATTAAATAAGAAAAAATGAGGTCTCTTAACAAGGTTAAAATAGCCTTGCATCATTTAATCAGAACTATTGAGGTTAAGCATAAAATTCTTAGAAAAATGAGTTTGCATTGCCTCTCTATTCTTCCCTTACCATTGCATACAAATGCAGAGTGATGTGGAAGAATGAAATGACTCCCCAAATAACAGAAAGCAAAAATAATTTTGTTATTTAAAAGCTCCAACTAATTACCTCAAATCTTCATTTTACTGTGTGTATTCAAGCTACACTACTTTATAAAATTGTTTTGCTATAAGATAGTGTTTGAATCTCATTTTACTTTAATTCTGATCTGAGTATAAAAAAAGACTGGTCAGACTGTTTACATCTCTATTAGGAATAGTTATTTCACAAGTCTAAACTCAACTTTGAATTTTTTTTAACCATAGAAATGGTGGGAGTCATTTGAACTCAACATGATAAATCTTTTCAGGTGAATTTTCAAAACATAACTTATTTCAAGAATATGTTTTATTATTTATAAAACGTGCAAAATTATAATAAGCAATAGCCTTATAGAACAATGTAAAGAATCTAGCCAGAATTTATTATTTTCTCTCAGGTGTCTAAGCATTTTGAGTAACACATATAAGTGTACCTTTTATTCCTATAGTGTTATACTAATGAGGAAACAGTAACTTGTCTAAGGATACATTGGTGATTTCTTTATTAATTCAAAACACTTTAAGAAAGTCAGTGTATGCATATGCATTTTACAGTAATCTCCACAGGTTTCCACAATATTGTCAAATGAAAACAGCTGTAGTGTGATTTACTTTGAAAATTCAAAAGAAATATACCAGTTTGAGACATCTGAATTTTCTTACATTATTGACATGCTCAAATTTTATTACATGGTGAAAATTCTAGCATTTTCAGGGAGTATATTATGGTACACAGGTAAAATGATAAAATAGATCCAAGGAAGGAGGAATAAAAACCCAGAACAACTTAAATTGGAGGAACCATAATCTACATTATCTATTCAATTTATGAGTACCTGTATTATTCTGACATTGCAAAATAACCAAGCATGGTGCCTCTTAAGTTGTATTCATGCATTCAAAACTTCTTTATAGTCCACTAATAAATATTGGTAGAGTCCAATATATGGGTATAGATGGTTAAGTGTAATGAACATGGTAGTAAAAAATTATACACCTTCAATATGATAAATTTTACAGACTCAAACACATTGAAATGCTTTTTTAATATTTAGCAAACATTTAAAAATCATAAACAAGAAACATTGTACTTATGACAAATAGGTTAAAGCCAGGGGAGAAAAATACCAAGTATTTTACATTGTTTTAATAATCAATATTCATTTTTCAGTGGAAGGCATTATAGAGGAGCACTAAGCAAAATGGTTATCAATTTAAATTACTTCTTATGACAATGAGTAAGACCAAGATCTTTAATATACAAAATGTGTAGAGGATTAAGGTAATTATATATGTAATTCAAGGGAAAAATTTACTTTCACCTCTATTAAGTTAATATTCAAACTAAGACTTTTGGAGTTTTATTTTTCCATTTCACTATTCAGTTCATTGTATTTTCTTAATAGCATTTGTTAGCAATCATTTAATGGAACCTAATATTAGTGTTAAGGAATCTGCTCAGATTGTTTCAGCTCAGTGTAAACGTCCAGAAAATTTATCTTCAATACAATCTCTTAAAAAATGTATTTCTTTACAGTGGAGAAACCTAATAGATGCTAACTCATTCAGGTGATCAAGGTTCAAATTAACAGTTAAGGGGAGCCTAAAGTTTATGAAACTGTCACAGCTAAAAGCCGTCATGATGACGGCATGTACCTGTGATACCTTGTGATGAGAATGGCACTTTATCTCTGTGGTCTTCCTTCAGAAAACCAAAACCCTCATCTAATCATGAGAAAAACATCAGTCAAATCCCAAAAGAGGGACATTCTACAAAATACCAGACCAATACTCCTCAAAACTGTCAAAGCTGTCAAAAATAAGGTAAGTTTGAGAAACTGTTACAGTTAAGAGGAACCTAAGAAGATGTGACAACTAAATGTAATGTGGTATCTGAATGGGATCTTGGGACAGAAAAAGCACATTAGGTAAAAACTAAGGAAATCAGAACAAAGTATGGACTTAATGAATCAATATTGGTTCATTAATTTTGACATATATCTCATAGATGTGGGATATATGGAACTTCTCTGTACTAGCTTTGCAGTTTTTCCGTAAATCTTAAACTATTCTAAAATAAAAGGTTTAATGAAAAGTTTTATTAACACATTACCACCTTTTATCAATTTTTTATTTTCATGGTAAAATTGTTAAAGAAAATCATATGACCTTAACATTAAAAATAATGTTTTTTGATGGTCAATCTCTTATACTTTAGTTTTAGCTCTATCACCCATTTATATATTTGGCAAATGACTTGATATTTATATTATTCCTATCCTTGGGAATGTTGTTTTATTTCCTTTGGAAATAAAAAATTTAAATGATTTGTCTTATTTAAATTTTAGTTTTAACCTACAACACACTCTTTCTCTCTCTTTCTTGTATGTGTGATTGAAAGAAACATTTCTAGACTGTAGATTTGATGTGATGTTGGCGACCTGAAAATAGTAATTTTGAATCACATTATTGAGCAAAGCAGTAACATTGATATAGCCCCCATCTTAAAATAAGATTGATTGTATAATATTTTGATGAATAATTAATCAGATTTTTAAAGTATGTTTTGAAAATAGTAGGACAAAAGTGCAATAAAATGACATTTAATACAGACATTCCTGAAAAGTAGTAACTATTGAACTGAAGAACTTTGATATTATATGTCACACTTTATTCTTTCCATGTTCATTTTATTAAATGCTAATGGCCATCCTGTAAATGATTATATTCCTCATTTGCAGAATAGGAAACATTTATCTCAGAGGAGATAAATGATTTGCCCAAAGTCACATGAGACAGAAATGTAACTTGAAATCAAATTTGTAATTCAAAGTTCCTGATGTTTTAATACACTATGCTCCATATATCAATCTGTGGACATACATTTCCATTAGTAAGCATTGTACATAGCATCCTTTTAATACAGTAATGAGAGCTAGATCTTTAGAAAGGAAATGTATCTAAGCCTAGGACAGAAAAACAATCTGTTTAACTATTATTCTAAAATATTTATTCCTAACTGTTTAAAAGCTGTAATGCTGTGACAGTTAGGTATAAGTCATCAGTTTTAAAATTCTGAAATTTCTGAAATGGTAAAGAGACTTAATATGAGAAATAATGAGGGAAGAATAAATTTCAGGTAAACATATGATGTATTAAAAAATATTACATTTGGTTATCATCATCAGTGCTTAATAGCATTACTTTTCTCTGCTCATCTTAGAGTTTTTGTCATAGAAATAAAATTAATTCCCAATCTAGGAGCTATTATCAGAGCAGTACTTTGCCTTCCATCGTCTTTTAATTAGAGACAATGTCTTGAATATCACCTTGAATTTATCTGAAAACATGTCACTTGGGCTGGAGAGGACTATATTTGTAAGAGTAATAATTTTTAAAATACTTATAAAGAAATCAAAGTCTGGTATTGATCATTCTGTGCACTGTTGTGTATTGCAAGGATATTGTAAGTGTTGCATAGAAAATCTGAAACAAATTTTTGCTATCAGTTTTATTGATAAATATTTGCAAATGTAGCAAGTGAGGAATTACTAAATTTTTTACAGATGAATACTCTTTTCTCAGAAAAACAAATACTTTATATTCGTCAGAAATTTAGAAACCGAAAGACACTCAAATATAAGTGTGAAATATATTTTGAAAGTTAGAGTCATAAACTGTCAATGTATACAGATGGGCAAGGAAATTTTCTGAAAATAGCTTTACAACCTTTCAAAGTAATTTGCCAGTATATCAAGCTAAAAATATTCCAAATACATGTTTGATAAAGTTCTATCTATAGATATTTTCTATTTCTTTAATAAATTTTAGGTGGTTTTCAAAAGGGTTCTTATTTTTCTATTTTCCAATTGTATTGTACTTTCTTCCTTTTACATTTCTTCACCAAAGCATCTGATGATTGGTATTTTTTGCAAATGTAATTTGTCACAATTACAATATGATTTATTTTTTCAGTATAAGTTAAAGGTGTATAAATTATGGATAAACTCAAAATCAGGTATTATTTTAAATCAGCTTAATGGGATGAACATGTATTTTTCCCCCTAATAAATAAACATTATTTACCTATTTCTATAGTCCTTTTGCAAAACTGAACTTTATTTATCAGACAAATAA